AGCCTAATGAAGCTTGAACACATTATTACAGGGATTTTCTACTTCTCTTTCATTCATTTAAAGTAAATATTATTGTAGCATGTATTGAAGGCTTGCTTTTTGTTATTAACGTTTAATGTTCAAAGCCTGAGATTTGAATACTGCCTATCCATGCATATATAGATGTCTTTTATTTTCATTTTATTTTCATTTTCAGTTTTTTAAAGAATGCAAGTATAATGTGCTTGGAATAGATGCTTGTTTTATTGCCTATGCAGTGCAGTCCTAAGTAAGTTTATGCAGAAGCAAGCAAGCAAGAATATTACTGGCATGGGGTATCTGAATCTCTTTTGCAGCTTTATCGGTCAACACAAATGTAAAGGAAGCACAATTCAAAGTTCATAGTAGATGCATTGCTCTTGTTAGGCTTCACCTAATGTGTACAAGCTACAGTCAGTACTGCTAGAAGGATTGTGGATAGATGGAATTATTCTTTGGTGGGAATGTCCAGCAGTTTTCCAGCATGGTTTCTGATTCCTGCCAGGAATGACTGCACATTAGACCACAGACTGCACCTAAAAGCTATGTGTAATGGTTCTAGGGGTTGCTCGTGCGTAAACCGGTGCAAACACCTGGCTGGGTTGCCTGAGTGAACCTTTTCTGTCTGGACAGCCACTCACCCGTGGCTGTCTCAATCGCTGGCAGAATCCGTCAGTGGGCGTTTCTTAAACTTCTTCCAGCAAAGAAGCTCTTTGACGCCTAGTCTCCTCCTACTCTCTCTGTGCGAAAGCCTTCTGCGCAAGGAGGGCGTAGGCAGTGGAGGACCCCTACTCTCCCCGCTGGTCCCCGGCAAGGAGTCATGGGACCGCCTCGCCGCTTCCCCCATCTGCCCCCCTTCTCCACTGGTGCTACGCTGATTCTCTTCCCCAGAAGATGGGCTGCCTCTCCCAATCCCGGGACGCTCTCTGGAATCCCTCTGGATTTTGCTCTCTCCTTCCGGCACTGATGGCAGTTCCCTGACACTATGCTTCCTCATCCTTTTGAACCTAATGACTCTGGAATCCCAGTTTTGAAATAGGATTTCATAGCAGCATGGTTTCTGTTTCTCTCCTGTGTGGAAGCCCTTCAGGCTTCTGCTCACACCCCAAACTAAAATAAATCTCCATTTCAAATGTCTGTTCACCAGAATTTGGTGCGGCCAAATAGTTGAGCCACACCTCCTTGAGTTTTTCAGATGAGGGCCTCCTGGCCAACCTGGCTGCAGCAGCTGCTGGGAGAGATTAGACAGGACTATAAATAACAAGAGAGCTCCAGCTAACATAGTGCAAAAGGAACAGATAATTAGGCAGCTGGGGGCTATCAAATGTATTGTGCAGAATGTAACATGCGTGACTATCTGCCTGCAGGACAGACAATGTTCACCACATTAACACTCCAACATATCTTGCTCTCCCTTTAGGTTTTGTAGGGGGTGGGCAAAGTCATAGCTTGAGATTCAGCACACAGAGTAAGTCAAGCCTCTGTCCATTTTCCTGTCCAAGACAGAACTGGCCCCTAGTCTCTTGTTCTCTTACACTCACTGATGACATCACCTCCAACCTGTCCCCTTTACTGGAAAAGAAGGTAGCAGTGAGGTCTGCACAGTGCAAAGGCACTGGCAGGAGCACCAGATTGAATCTGCCAGTGCATTTGCACCATGCTGACCTTGCCACCACCTCTCTCCCCCTCCTCCTCTCTGTCGCAATATGCAGCAGTCACGTTGACAGCTGAAGGTCAGTTGAGCACCCCCACCTTCCTATCTGCTTCTGAACATTGTTAAATGACAGAGTTTGCTGCTGCCCCATTATTGATAGATTTAAAAGAGATGTTGGTGGATTCATGAAAGGTAAGGCTACCAATGGCTACTTGCCTGTTGGGTTCAACCCTGAATATCAATTGCTGGGAAACACCAGGGGGGAGAGTGCTGTTGCACCAAGGTTCTGCTTACAGGCTTCCCATGGACATCTGGTTGGCCACTGTGACACTAGACTAGATGGCCCTTTGGTCTGATTCCTCAGGGCTCTTCTTATGATTGCATGGAACTTTATGCAAGAGCAGCTGGTTAAGCTGAGACCTGCATGATGTTGATAGTCCATGCCAGTGCATGGCCATCTGTGGGTAGGGCTAGCAACATGCCTGAATCTGGGGGTGGAACCATTTGCTGTCCCTTTCACACAATATGCACATGAAAGGAACATGCATACATTACATTTGGGGAGAGGAACCATGGCTGAGGTTAGAGAGAGCCTGACAAACAAAAGATGGGCTACACCCAGAGCACCAGAAAAGCTTAGTGAGGCCCCAGTAATGAAACAGGGTTTTGTTTTTAGTTTAGTAAAGCAAAAGATAGACACAGAGCATTAGGTTGTACTGACAGGGAGCTGCAAAAACTATCTCAGAAATATACCCACATTTGATCTTTTTAACGTAAATTAACCAACCACATCAGGGATGAGTGATAATATGAGCATTAAATTGTTCAACAATGCTAACATTAATGAGGATGAGCCTGCCATTGTGCTTCTTGCCTTCTGTGCTGTTTTACCTACAGTTTTTATGTAATGAGTTTTTGCAATAAAGGGGGGGGGGAACAAGTATGGACCAAGTGCATCTCAGACATAAAAACAGAAGTTGCACAGAGATTATGAAGCGGATGCTTCAACCTCCAGCAAGTGTCGTCTGTCTTGTAATTATATAAGCAGGAGTTAATGAGGCCTATTAATGTAAAACCAAAAATCAACATTCTTTGGTCAGGTTGTGTTAAATCTGCAATATTTTATGTAGAAATCATAGCCTTGGATTTTATGCATAATTAATTTTTTTAATGTTCCCATTACTTGGTCCCTCTGCTTGCTAGCAAGTTATTGAGCTTGAAGATACACACACACACACACACACACACACACAGACACAGGGTGCAAGCAACCTGTCATTTGTGGGAATGCTTTTTCCAAATGCTATGTTTTTTAAATAAAGAAGTTCTTGTATCTTTATCCTCTTATAAGGAGGTTAAGCCAGCATAGCACTTGCATTTATTTTAAGGGTGAATAAATGTGTTACAGACAACAAAAGATACACGTGTAATGTATCCTTTTACTAAAAGTCCCGCAACAAATAGACTTCAGAAAACAATGGAGATGAAACAGTGAGAATGATAGTATCAGTGGCTCAATTTGAAACATTTATTACTCCGAAGTAATAGAGTAAATATAGAGTTTAGCAGCCTTATATCTCTAGGAAGTAAACTTCCATTTGTATCTTTAAATGTACATGGTTTTATGATGATATTGCATTTTTAGTATGCTGTCTCAAATGATAAGTGTGAAGCATAGCCACAGCTTAAGTGTTAGGTCTGGGAAGTGAATGAGCACCACCAGCAAACTCTCCATCCCAAATTAGTCAACACTGTGCCCCTGGATTTCCAGACTAAACCTGGGCATGTTCGCTAGAAGAAATCTGAGTAGACCACGTAGTGGAACTTCTGCATCCTGAGTGTGTATGGGACTGCCGCCTTAGCAAGGTCTACTGTGATGGGCTTTTGAGAATTCCCAAGTGGCACAAAATAGCAACTCCACAGAGACTTTTCTCCCTACTGCTTTAGGTAGTAGATCCAAAATTAACCACTTACCTTTTAAATTGGGGACAGCTTAACATTACCAGAATTCAGACTGGACTAAACTCAATGGGAGAGGAGGGAGAAAAATTGTGCCCATTCTGGAACAGTTCAAGGAGAATATTTGCATTAAGAATCACTTACTGCCACTTTGTAATCATCCTATAAGGGAAGGGGGAAGATTTTCTGGGCAATTTTGATATGTAGGTAAAAATAAAAATAAATGCATAATTAATAAGACACGATGCATAATTAATCATCTTTAATACTCTCTTGTTAGAAGAACAGCTGAGCTTCTGTGATTGGAGTCCATGTTGTCCTGAGCTAATTCTTTACATTTCTGAACTGGGAAATTAACTTTCCCCAAGTGCTGATGTTTGCTCTTTTGGGCTCTAATCAGACTCCTTTGGAAAGAGTAATAAACGATATGAAAATATCTGTTTTACTGTTTCCCTTTTTAAATTTCAGTGTTCCAGGTTAAGAAGGCTACAAGTTAAAACAGCCTCCCAAAATAATAAAGTTGCTGATGTGGAAATATTTTCCCATTAGGAACATTTCAGTATATAGGACATCTCAGTAGCGCTGCATTTCTTTATTCATGGAATTAAATTTTATACAACTGTGAAATATAGCTAAAGGACCTAGATTTCTACACGGATGATGCAGAAAATCCAAAAGATTGTTGTGATGAAAAAGGATGTCTGCATATACAGGCTCAGTTTCCTTCTGGGAAGAAAGTACTGGAGAATGATGGTGTCTCATAACAAATTATTTATTTACAAATGTGCACGTGCAGCAGAGGGGACACAGAGATCATTTTAGTTCCTAACACAATAGCAACTTCCCAAGTGCGCCACCTTGTTAGTTACAAAAATTCAGCCATTTCTCTTGTTCGCTGTCTAAACACAACCTACTTTCTCCCTTCTCCTCTGCCCTCTTCCAAGACAAAAAACCCAAAATAGGTGAGTGACCTTAATGCTAAAACAGCGACATCCGGGGTGGCGCCATCGGCAGTGGCGGACTCCCTCTGAATTGGAGGGACTAGCTCCGCGCGAAACGGGTCTTCTCCGCTACGGCAAAGCAGGGACCCTTTTAAAAATCACAGGCGGATGAAGCCTGTGACCATGGGACTCGGCGGGCACCCTTAGCGCCCCCCCAACCTGCAAAGGAACCCACTAACGGGCTCCGAAGCGAAGAAGGGGAAGTGGCGCGGTGCTGTGAGTCAACTGCTATTTCCGTGGAGCGAAGCCGCACAGCTGTTGCCGGAGAGCGCTGCCTTTTTCCTGGGACAAATTGGCTTCTAAAATAAGCACCCGTGAGTACTTAAACTTTGAACAATTGGACTTTAAATAAGGACTTGCGAGCAGAAAGGAATTGGACTTAAAATTTTTACTTCAATTTGGTACTGAAACGGGAAGGTCTAAACAGGAAGTCAGCCTTCCATTTCTTTGTAGACAGAATAAAGCAAAGACAACGTAAACTAGAGCTCAGAAAATCGCCTCTAAAGGATTGGCTTTCATCATTTAAAATTGTTGAACCCCCCTTCGGCAGCAGGAGTAGAAGGGGGATCTTTTCTGGACTGTTTAAACCTGCAGAAGTGAGTTTAAAGTAAAGTAACTTTCCACCGTCCTGATCCTGGAGCGGGGTGTCAGGACTGACGTTTGAAGCTCATTGACCAGAAACAAGCGCTTTTGACAGATAGCTAAAAGAAGAGGAACATAGTGATTCCATTGTTTCCTTTCGCACCTTAAAGGAACAAATATTGACAAAATATCTGAAAAAAGGAAACTCAGTTGCTAGACTTGTCTTTAAAAGAAAGATTAAACAGAAGTTTTCCCCCTAGAGGGAGACTGTGAAACTGTAACCAACTCCTGGGAGCTGGCACCTGTTACAGATTACAGTCATGGGAATAGACATCTGACCTTCAGGACAATGTATTCAGAAGCTCTGTTGTGTGCTTTCTATAAAACAAATGCCCTACTGGAACAGTTACATGAGAAGACGAATTTGATGGCTGATTCGATTAGAAATTTTGAACAGGCAGTGGGAAATTTTGAACAGGCAGTGGGAAAATATGTGGAGCCCACCCAGGAATTAAATCAGGAGTGTGTCCTGACAGAACAGGCCCTACAGGAATATGAGCTTTCGGATTTGACAAATGAACTTGGAAAAAGCCAGACTTGGAAAGAAAAAGTTTGGTTTGGTTTGGAAATGGGGGGTTGGATAGACCCTCCTATGCAGGGATGTTTGGACTTTTCAAGTCTGGCAATGGGCCGTGAGATGTTTGGGATTGTGGGGGCTCTTAATTTTGGAGGGATTTTGAAACATGTTTTTAAATACCACATGGAATTTAGTGTCGATTATGGAAAAGGGGCTGATCTGTCGAGAAGGGTCAAAAATATTGCTAAGTTGGAGTTCCCACGAGTGAAAGGAGCAGGAGACAAAGGAAAATACAGCTATAAATATGAAGAAGAGCCGCGGAAGGGACATGGAAGGGACTTAAGGGCCTCGGATATAAGATTACCAGGTTAATGCGCCAGATCGATGGGATAATAAGGACTGACAAAACCCGGGACCAGGAGGAAGGGACGCTGGATGAAGATTGGATTTGTTTTTATTTCTCTTTTTTACTACTAGGACTGTTTTATAAAATTGATGAATGTTAGAAAAATGTTGGAATGAAATTACTTGGCTTTAGTAAAAATGTTTAAAGAATTATGCAAAAATATTATGGTTATGAGAAGTTGGTAAAAATAAGATTTAAGTTTTAAGTCTCAAGGTTTTTTTTATACTAAGATAAGATTAAAATAGTTTAAGGTAATGTAATGACAGAATATTATGAAATATGGAAAGGATTTGCTGTGACAATTAACAAACAGGATACAAGGAAGGGGAGGAGGAGGAGGTCAAGGAAAGAGGGTAATGACAGTTGAGGAGTTGAGAATAATGGATTTGTTTTTAAATGTTTTTAAATGTGTGTGGTGTATTTTTGTTTTTTTCTTTCTTATTTTGAATTTGTATCTCTTTTTCTACTTTGTTTTTCTTTTGTAACTTAAAAAAATTTTTTTTCCCAATAAATATCATTTAAAAAAAATAAAAATGCTAAAACAGCATTGTTGGTAGCCAAGCCACTAAAGGCAGTCTGCCTTCCAGAGTTTATTGTATTGCATATCCCATTATCTCTGACCATTGAGCAGCAGCAGTTGGCGAGGAAGTAGGTTTGGTGCAGATGCAGCGATGGGAGCTCTGGGTTGTCTTTGTTGCTGTGCCTGCATTACACTCAGCTCCCCTCCCCTCCCCTCCTCTCCTTCTCAGTAACTAGCACCAATCCGAGGATTGGCAAGCTTGGATAAGCAACACAGTCACACCTTACCCCATGCTTCTGATTGCTCCTGCCATTGGTTGTACCAGCTGGGGCTGATAGGAGATTGGAGACTGACAATATTTGGAGGGCCACAGGTTGCCAACCTCTACACTAAGGGATCTTTCTCGCTAAGGTTATATTTGCAGTGTGGGTGCTGATGCCATGCAGCTTAAATCTGTGCTGTGAAGTCCTTGGCCATGAAGTAAAAAGGTAAAGGGGACCCCTGACCATTAGGCCCAGTCATGGCTGACTCTGGGGTTGCAGCGCTCATTTCGCTTTATTGGCCGAGGGAGCCGGCGTACAGCTTCTGGGTCATGTGGGCAGCATGACTAAGCCGCTTCTGGCGAAACAGAGCAGTGCATGGAAATGCCATTTACCTTCCCGCTGGAGCGGTACCTATTTATCTACTTGCACCTTGACGTGCTTTCGAACTGCTAGGTTGCCAGGAGCAGGAACTGAGCAACGGGAGCTCACCCCATCGCGGGGATTCGAACCACTGACCTTCTGATCGGCAAGTCCTAGACTCTGTCGTTTAACCCACAGCGCCACCCACGTCCCTTTTGGCCATGAAGGTAGGGACCTACATTTGACTCTGTTATTCACACCAACATTGTCCTGGTTTCCAACAGGCTGTAACATTGGGCTGCTTTCACATGCCTGGGGCTTCCCTCACTGCCCTTCTGGTGCAGAAAGGATGGAGACACATTAGAATGTCTCACACATCACAAATGGAGCCTGAGAAGGGACCCCTTGTAGGATGGCAGGTACCTTCTTGCTCTTACACAGTAAGGTAACAACCAAATATTTCTACCCTATTAGAAGTTCAAGTGCCTCTGCTAGCTGAGAAGGCTGATCATCTTTGAAGCTGTGCCCCAGTGGAAGAAAGCAATCATTTGGAGGAGCTAGCCATTGGCAATGCCACTCATAATCTGTTCCCCTAAATGGAAGCCCTGCCAATGATGCAAAAAATGGCCCCACTGATAGTGATATTATTTGGCATATAGCACAGGACTTTGGACCAAGCCATTAGTCAAATCAGATCACACAAAGAGCAACCTTCTATCCAGTTCCCATTACTGAAGATCCCTATGCTATAACATTTATATTAAGACCAAACTATGGTGCTTCAGAATTTTGATCAGGTCAAGTTTAGATATGGGGATAAGAAGAAGTATAATCCCTAATCAGCCATGTGTTGAATATTCAAATATGCAAAGTGCCAACTGTTCTGCTGAGAATTAACATTCTGGAGGACTGGGCAAGCTACATGCTTGAGGAATCCTTGATGAAATGATTATAATGAAGGCACAAAGACAGATAGGGAGCCACAGCATTAAAGCCTGCCTCAGAAAAACCCCTGCCAAGATAGGTTTGCTTAACAAAGAGGGAGTGACTTGCCAAAGGTTACTCAATTGGTTTCACAGCTAAGTCTCAAATTGCACATTATTGGTATTAGTATTAGTATTAGCATTATTTTTTTACCTGCCTTTCACCCAGCATTAAAAACATCATCATCACCACCACCATCACCATCATTAAAAACAACCTACATTGTGGCAAACCAGTTGGCTTTACTCCAGATCTGCCCTAGTCATGTATAAAGTGTGGCTTAGGAGCCCTGGTTGTAAGAGGTAAAGGAGATGCAGAGTTCAAGGGAACCATAGCTCAAGGGAAAGAACATAGTTCAGTTGTAAAGTACAGTGGTACCTCGGGTTAAGAACTTAATTCATTCTGGAGGTCCGGTCCGTTCTTAACCTGAAACTGTTCTTAACCTGAAGCACCACTTTAGCTAATGGGGCCTCCTGCTGCCGCCGCACGATTTCTGTTCTCATCCTGAAGCAAAGTTCTTAACCCGAGGTACTATTTCTGGGTTAGCGGAGTCTGTAACCTGAAGCGTCTGTAACCTGAAGCATCTGTAACCCGAGGTACTACTGTATACACTTTGCATGTATCAAGTTAGCTCAGTAGGTTACAGTGTGGTGCTGGTAACACCAAGGTCACGGGTTCGATCCCCATATAGGCCACCTGCATATTCCTATATTGCAGGGGGCTAGACTAGATGATTCTTGATGTACATTCCAACTCTGCAATTCTATGAACAGGTCCCAGGTTCAATCCCTGGCATCTCCAGATAGGGTTGGAAAAGAATCCCACCTGGAAACCTACAGAGCCACTGCCAGCCAGTGTAAACAATACTAAGTTTGATGGACCAATGGTCTAACTCAGTGTAAGGCAGTTTCCTCTGTCCTGAGCTCTCCCCCAACTTACCTCCTTACAGGCTTGCCACCGCCACTCACCTTTCTCACAGCTAGGCTCACATCTAGTATTGGAGCCTGACAGAGAGATATATGCATTTGGGTGATATACTTTGGGGAAGTACCGAAAGTTATGGGAAGAGAGAGGGTCTAGTGCTCCTCACTTGTATGTTCCTTTAACTTCTAAAAACATGGCTCCTCCTCGCCCTCACTTTATATGTGATTGGAGTTGTCCCAGATTTAACTGGATGGGCCAGCTCCTCTCATGGGTAGCTTGAGCCCGAACAGTCTATCCTTAAGCTAAGCTTGAGTTTTAGCTGTTCAACTACACTGGTATTCTAGCATAATGCACCTTTCCTGTGTGATCTACGGCTATTGAAATATTACGCTTTGTTCAATTGTTCTTATTCCCAAGTTTCTGTTTATGTCATTTAACTCAGCACAGCATTAGCATAAGGGAGCAAAGAAAGTCAGAGTACAAAAAAAGGACAGCATATTGCAATGATTTCCCCACATCTGGTGACTGAGTTGTGACCTTAGCAAACCACTGCATAAGCTGAGGAAATTCTAGAACCAAGTTGGTTTTGATGAAAAGGCTTTCGCTTGTATGAATTTTGTACTGTGGCTGGCTGTTATATTCCCATGTAGGTGCACTCTGTTCTGAAACACACTGTCACTGTTACACTTGCAATGAAGCAAAACAGAACAAATATCTCACTGATCTGGCTCATGGCTCCAAAATAATTCCTGTTGGAATTAAAGAGATACTTCTGTCAAATACATCCACAAACACAGACTAAGGAAGAAAAGATATCAGTCTCCATTCAACATATTTTCTAACCTTAACTTCAAAACTATGTGTGCTCCTATACGACTGTACCTTTGCTATAAAATGTAAATACTATATTTTTTAAAACGATATAATGAGGAGATTTTTGGATGCACAGTTTTCTAACATCATTGAGTCATATTTTTAGGGCTGGGCTTAGGGCTGAGCATCTGACTGGTAAAAAAAGGGGATTCTCACTTATCAATGCCTAATGGGCAAAAAGGCCAGTCATAATTATAACCCTCGCCCTCTAGTAGTACTTTATATGGAAACCACCTGGTAACTGTGGAAGATTTCATGCAACCAAACTTAACTGTATTTTAATTGCCACTAACAAAGGGGTTAAGGATCACAGAGCTGCAAATTTCTAGAGAAGGCATGGCTAGGTCATACCCTCTCACTTTTTTTGGGGGGGGGAGTATTGTTTGTTTCCTGTTCTTCTCTCTTTCCCCCTGCCTTTGAATCATATAAGCTAAGCAGACATCTGAGGCTGGTTCTCCAGACTTAGACCATGTGTTTGGGACTAACTTCTGTACAGTGGTACCTCGGGTTACATACGCTTCAAGTTACATACGCTTCAGGTTACAGACTCTGCTAACCCAGAAATAGTGCTTCAGGTTAAGAACTTTGCTTCAGGATGAGAACAGAAATCGTGCTCTGGCGGTGCGGCGGCAGCAGGAGGCCCCATTAGCTAAAGTGGTGCTTCAGGTTAAGAACAGTTTCAGGTTAAGTACGGACCTCTGGAACGAATTAAGTACTTAACCTGAGGTACCACTGTATTTTGCTACCAAGAACACCTTGCCTGTGCTGTTTCTGCTGTAGCATTGAACAATGCATGAATAAGACCTGTAATTTACTGTAAGTAAAGCATTTAAACTTACTAAAGCTCAAAGTCTATTCACTCCAAGTGCGTAGAGGCAGGGGAGAACTGTAAGCACAATAGTGGGACATTTAAAGGTTTAACAACCTATATTTCCCATGCTTTGCAAATGCTGCATAGAAGTGTGTTTTAAACTCTGCTGGGGACTGCTTTGACTAAAGAGTGAGCAAAGCCCCCCCCCCTTAATTTCAAATTCAGGAAGTCAGCCATTTTTCTTTGTAGTTCCTCACACATGTGGGACTTCATGATTAATTGGTATTCCCCAGTTATTTCCCAACAGTAACAAACTAGGTAGCATCATGCCAGCCCATTTGCATTCCTGTTCTAGACACATGTTCACTTTGCACAGTGGACTCCCTGAATTTCCCTGTCAGCAAAGCAAACTGTTGCTTTCCTACAATGCAGTCTGGGATTGCATCCCAACTTGCAATTGTGGTGGAGAACATAAGCTTCTCCTGGGTGACCCGATAAGGCACTCAGGCCATGTGTGAGAGATTAGAAACTGCCTAGACTAAGGGGGCTTATTGAAATAACCAATTACTTTACAACGTCTAATTCCCATAAAATAAAGGAGTGATTTGCTGCTCAGAAAGAGACCTATACTACCGAGGAGCTAGGATTACCACCTCCCACAGAAGGGAGGGAGCATGTTAATCAACTTAGATGCATGCAAATTTTAAATTGCCTATTATTTAGCATTGAGAATGAACTAAAAAAAAAAAAAGCCGAATGCATCCTAACTGATTCCTAGCCAACCGTTCTTAAAAACCTCCAAAGAAGGATTTTCCACAACCTCCTTTGGCAGCTTATTCCATTTCTGGACTGCTTTTGTAGCTAGGGAGGTTTGCTTAGTGTTTGCCCAATTCTACTTTCCTGGAGTTTAAAATCATTGCTCATACCCTCAGATAGACTGAAGAATCGACTCTCTTCTTTCTAATTTAAGTAAACCAAGAAAATAGTTGCATATCTCCCTTTAACCTCCTTTGCCTTCCCCTCCAAGTTAAACATATTCAGTTACTCTACCTTCCCTCATATGCCTTTCCTTATAGCCATGATGTCAGCTTTGGCCCTGACCTAGCACAGGAGCCAAGTCCTAGGGGCTGAGGTCTGCTTTATACTATTTTATGGTTTCTGTGCTACTGTATTTATAAAAAAAAAAATGTGCTGGGGAGATGGAAAGTCCCTGCGGTTTCTTAGCGAATAAATTGCTGGCTTCGTATGTTGATCCAGTGTGCATGGATTGTTTGCCACATAGAGAATGCCTCCAAAGGAAGTAATTCAACCTGACTTATACCTGGGGGGTGGAGGGGGGGACTATGTGTGCGCTTCTCTTAGATGGTACACTGACAATGGTTTCACCAGGTGAATCAGAAGGTAAACTTTCTAAGCTGTTAGCAGCAGCTTTCACTGCCTCTCAGAGCGAAGTGGTTGTTGAGAGCATTACAAACTGTGACAGTTGCTTAGGTTGGGCAACCTGCAGTTTTTCAGGAATTAAACGCAGTGGGCCAATGTGTGCCCCACGGCTCAACATATGCACGGTGCTTGTTAGAGATACGGAAGCGACCCGTATATCCGAGGGCACGGAGTAAGTTGTCTACGTTGCATAATCTGCCTGTGATGCCTTGCAGCGCTCTCACCTATTTCTTATTTCCTTTTATATTAACACCCCCCTCCCCCAAGTCTTTTAGGGTGTCTTTTACATGACAAGAGTTTAGCACTCACATTGCCAGTTTTCATCTATTTACATTGCATTTGTTTTTTTGTCCCTTATTTGCTCACAGACTACCGCCCTAAAAACAAACCAATGCAGAGACAAAGTGTTAGGTAACTACAGTGGAACCTCGGATTGCGAATGTGATCCGTGAGGGAGGCATTTTCACAATCCGCGCTGTTTGCAACCCGCAACACCCCGTCTGCACACACACGGGTCATGATTCGGCGCTTCTGCGCATGCGCAAAGCGCGATTTAGCACTTCTGCACATGCACGAGCGCCGAAACCCAGAAGTAACCCTTTCTGGTAATTCCGGGTTCGGCGCAGTGCGCAACCCAAAATTGCATAACCTAAAGGGTCTGTAACCCAAGGTACCACTGTATCCCTTTTGGCAGTGCGAGCAAATTCATCACTCCCTGTGATATGAGGGGCATTCGTCCCCAGTAATAGGAATTAGGGGTGTTTCCCCCCTCCCTTTCTTTCTTCATTGCTGCAGTGGAAGCATCCTTCTAGCCTGCCTTTGAACCAGAAAGCAATCCTTAATGTATAAGTTTAAATCCCTTCAAGGTTGATATCATACTTCTTCTAAAACAACCAATTAAGCTTTAATTTCACTATCATTTTCAAATACACAGCCATCACTGTCTCCAGCAGTGCTGATAAGGACTACAGTGACAAAGACACACACTCAACTAGTAATTTAACAGAGAGAAAACAGGTGAAGGATATATATATATATATATATATATATATATATATATATGAAAACTGAACTATTATCAACCCACAGCTGCTGTGTGCTGCTGTGACAACTATTGATTAAAACAAGAAAATAAGAGTGAATATTTCCTCAACCTTCTGCTTTTCTCTTTAATTCAGAAAAGTGGGAGGGGGGAGTATAAATATTTTTGATCAATGAGGTGAAGGGTGGGACAAATGCAGCAGAGGCGGCAGGTGCAGGCAACAACAGTAATGGCATTTCCCAGGATCGCTTTGCCGATTATCTTAGCGCTGACCTGTGAGTGCACTCTTCCCTAGGGAGAGCCACTCGTCAGTCTCCATATTAACTCATCACCGAGCTCCTCCATAGCCAAGGCTCTGCAATCAAGCTTCTAGCACATGGGGTTAAGCCGAGCGTCTGGTGTGTGGTGGTGTCTTGGCACAGATTGCTATCAGCGGGAAACTAAGCTGCAGATTACTTATTTCATTTTGCAGATGATAATAGGAAAGGGGGAGGGCACTGGTTCAGGAGGCTATGATGAAAGAGTCTGTCAGTTAGGTCCTGATTCTGCCCAGGGTGTAAATGGAACCAATGATCTCCATTTTTGCAGCCATGTGTATGCTTCTC